CTGCAATCTACCATAGTCATTCGGCAATTAGTCATCTGCAATCAATTCTCATAATTAGTGCAAATCCCAGCCAACGAAAAACAGAATTGAAGAACATTGTCATCTGCAATCTACCATAGTCATTCAACCATTAATACAAGCTAAGGTGATCAGTAGAAGCCAGAAAAAGAGCACCTGGACATTGAAAGCAATATTTGTTCGTGATAAATTTAATTACAATCCAAGCTATTATTACACTAACAGAGCCATAGCACTAAATAGCCACAAAATGTCAAATGTAAATGATAATCCATGAAGGTTGTCATGAGTTTTAAACAGAATAAATAACTTGCCTTCATAACTCGGCCTGCAATATCCAGTTGTCCATCTAAACTTAGTGCAGCTCTAGCATCTTCAAGGCGAGAAAACTGCAAGATGGTTGTGCACAAAAAGATTTAACTTGGTTCATCGAAGAGCACTGAGATCTCACTACAAAGAAGGCTATTTTATGTGGTGAAGCTATTCTGCATCAGACTATTACGTTAGCTCATACTCAATATGCATGATTTAAATGTTGTGACAACTCATATCTAGAACTAAATCACCTGCACAAAACCATAGCGGCAGCTATGCCCAGTCTCCAGGTCAGGAGGCAGCTGCACCAACTCAACAGTACCAAATGGTTCAAAAACCTGACTTTTTGAAAAGGAAAGATCAGAATCTTGACTAACAGGAGAAATATCTGCTGCAAAATCAAGACAACTAGTATAAACCCAAGAGAGTTCAAAAAATAACACCTTCCTTGTCAGAACAGTGATCCATGGTGTGTGACACTGCAGTGCCAACCTTATACCATTTGGCTCAATAAGTATATCATCCTTTTGTTGCCAAATACATATCAGTGCCTACCAGCCTAAAACATCTTTTCTTTTCACTAAATTGCTACTCTTTGAACAAGCAAATGATAATGACTCTCTTTTACGGCGTGCAACTGATTGTCCAATAAGAAAAACGTGTAAGCTATGTCATTCATCCAGACAATAAGCACATGCAGTAACAGAAAGTAATATGAGTGACCCCAACTGTTCACAGGTTCAATTACAGTGTCAATCGAGTTTTAAGAGCTTAACTTTCTTTTCTACATATAGGGCAATCAGCTTAAGCAAATACAACATCAAGTCACCCAGTCATACTAGATTTGTCCGTTGTATTAAGTAAAATAAACCTATGAAGGTGTTTAGAAGCTCTGGAAACATAGTAGCTAATTAAATTAACTTCAAGGTTCCTTTTTAACATCAGGAAGCACTAGATCATTTTGTTAAAATGCCGGAAAAGAACTGGATTATTTTTTGCAGGCACTAGCATCCTTGACCTTTCCAAAATTTGTTAAAGCTGAAAGACATTTAAAGGAGTTGCGAACTGTTACATCTCATTCAATCATGACACTTACCACCTGCAAACTTTTTCCTTTTATCCTGAAAACTCTATCCTTTTAATTGGAACCATGAAATTCTTAATTTGGTGTATTTAACTTGAAAAGCTATAATCCGTACGCTTATTGTAGATCACAACATTCATGACCATGCTTATTTGAATACATACAATGAGAACTGGATGCAAAACCACCAACTGGAGGATATATCTACCTGACGAAGTTGATCTTCTTTGATGTTAGAATGCAGATTGTCAACATACAACCTCCTAGCTCCACCTGAGTACGGGCATCTTAGGTCAGTATCTCCAGCAGCCACAGATGCAGTTGACTGAACGAGATTCTTTTCAGCCTCTGATGGTTTAACCATCACTGATTGACCAAGAAGAGGTTGGCGGACAGGGCTACCGCCATAGGGACCGACATGACATCGTAAAATTCAATATATCTGCAGAACAAAATTTAGCATATGAGAAGAAAACAAAGATAAAAATTCTGAGAAATTGAGATAGTATACAGTTGTGATGTCGTGTGTGTTTCTCTGTCAGTAGTTTCCTACCCAATGCCTTTGGAGCGTCTAGAAATGCGGTCCACTACGAGGCGTACATCTCTGACCTGATATTGCATGAAAGTTGTCTGTCAATAACTCCTAATACTTGGTAAATGTTATCCAACAATGAGGGTAAGTCATCATTCTGAAGGAATCATGACACCATGACAATCGTATATAGCAACAATTCAATTGTTTATTCATTATATTTATTTTTGCATGTGCATGTCATGTTGAGGTTGACAGATGAAACTATTACTCAAGTTGAGTTCAGAGAATTCAGGGGACAAAGAATACTAATGATGGGAGCAGGCAGGGTGTCACAAAATTCCAGCATACCTACTCAACCCAGTAAAAGATTATGGGCTTATGCTTAAAACTCAACAGCTCAAAATAAGTTATAAGCAGCTTATCTGAAATTGAAAAAGAAGTTAATATTGTGAATCTACTGAAAGATTGAAAAGATGTTTAACTTTCAACATATTGCCAAGCTAACAGCTATTTTGAAAAGCAAATCAAGGGAGACTTTTTTATTAAATGCAGAAAAACCTGCTTACAGCTTATTTTAGACTATTGGTACAAGCCATACAAGTCGCATTAATTATTATGCTAGATATCATGGTTAGACAACAAATCTATTCAAGACCTAGATCCTATTAGGCACACAAGTCTTTGCATATTTTACACAACATCAGCTTCAGCACTACTGTGGCATTTTAGTCATAAGCTGAAATCCATTATTTTAAGTGGTGAAATATTGCTTGATTCAGAAGATTTATGGCAGAATAAAGAACTTCAAGGGTAAAATTGGCTTCAATGGATAGATCATCTTATCGAATATAGTAGAGTGTCAGGGCAGTAAGGAGGAGATCAAAGATAAATCTTGTATGTCTCATTTGTAATGTTCTTTTAGTTTTTATTAAACAAGCAGAAGCAGGCACAAAGCAAATACAGATTCCAATTCACTGCAACAAAACATGGAGTATCATTTAATTAATGTCTCGTAAGATAAGTATTTGGGTCCCGCCCTAGCATAGCAAAACCTTGCCAGCTCTGCTAAAAACTCATAGACATCTCTTTCATCTGCCTGCAAAGAAATCTGCCAAAATCACAAGAGGAAGTCCATGTCAGAAGAAATGCTGTTGTAAGCCAGTAAATTAGTAGGAAAACAGATTAGTCAGGTAACTTAACTACCTGATAAGCAAAAACTGTCCGTCGATCATGCTCAGGATCAGCCTGTGGCTCGGCCACTTCTTCCTTTTTTTCTTTAAATCTCCTGCCAAATACACACACACACACATGTATAACAATTATAACCCTCAGAAGAAGTGATCAACAGGCTAGAACATCCTAAAAGGAAATAAATGAACTACTATTTACTGAGCTGAAAACCCAAACTAAGCTCAACAGTTATAATAGCCAACTGTTGTGCTTCTCAGAGTAGGAGGTAACAGTTAACTACCAGAACAAACCTAAATTAAACTCTGTATACAGAGATCAGCTTGGTTAAATGCCAAAAGAAAATTGTCCAACTCTTTTTAAGGAAACAGGTTACATTTAAAGATACCGACCCTGATCTTAGTTACAAGAGACAAAGCCAAACCAATTCAACTTCTGTTAGCCAAAAGCACAGGTGCGATACAGGTCAGCTTAGTGCAAGCAAATTATTTGCTTAAAAACTACCAAGAACCAGTGTGATTGTTAACTCCAGAATAAAAAAAACATACTTAAGAAAGTAGAATATTTTGTAAGCAGAATATAAATCTTGAAGCCAACTGACAACTGATTTACGATAAGCAAATATTTTGTAGATTATCTTGTGTACGTTGTAAATCTGCCCAAGGGCCCTAACAACTTACAACTATGCAAATGCATGACTCTGCATTTCTACCTATTAGCTAGCTCAGAACAAGGAAATATAACTTTTTCATTCAAGTCAGGCAGAAAATCATCAAAGTTCCCCTAGAATTATAACAAAACCACTGAGGAATCGCGCATTACCTGCTTTCTGTCCCCTTCTTGTAACTGGCTCTGTCTTTCCCTTCCTCCATACTCCCTATCACCATTCTTCTCCCTGTCTCGGCTCTCCTCTCTCTCTCCATCAACCAGATGCCTTTCTGAATGACTTGTACGATTCGACAGGTCTTGATTTCTCTCCCTACCTCTCTGTCTTTCATCTTCGCGGCCACGACCTCTCCTTCCGCTATCTTCGCCTTTGTTGGTATCTCTTTCTCTGTCGCTTTCTTTGATTTTGTCCCCATCTCTCTCCTTCTTGCTGCTCTTATGCTTGTCCCTGTCCTTGGATTCTCGGCTACTCCTGTATCTCTCCCTCCCACTCCTCTCTCTATCTCTTGAAAGGGAATGGAGACGGTAGCTTGAGCTCCTCTCCTCCTCGTCTTCATGGAACTCTTCCCGCGTCCTTGAACGCTTAACGCGTTGATGATGATGATGATCACTTTTATGCATTGGCCTCTTAATTGGGTCTTGGCCTCCGCCAGATTTATCCACTTGATCACCGCCATTGCTCGTCTCAGGATTTTCCGCTGTTTTCTCCGAGTAATCATCAAACTCGTCAAATTCCATTTGGAAAAACCCTTCAAAACCCAAACAATCTGCTTCCTCAAGAGATGACAGAAATATACTACTAACTATACAGTAGTGTATTTTTTTTCCAAGACAACAACACATTTAATCCATTAGTTTCGATTGCTCGACAAGGCTATCAAATACTACTACAAGGCACAACCGAGTCTGGAGAATTTGAAAATCCATACGACAGATTAAAAAAAAGGGAATTTCACCATTTTCGTCCATAAACTTTTACACTAAAATCAATTTCATCCTTTATAATTTTTTTAACCAATTTAATCCTTCCATTATTTTGAAGTCTCTGATCTAGGACTTTTACAACGGCAACACCACATTTTACATATTTCGTATAATCGATAATGGGTATATTTGTCATTTTAAATTAGATTCTTTAATTTATACGGAACTTTGACTATAGTTCTTCTTCTTCGAAAAATTTCACCGAAAATTTCATCTGAATTTATTGGAAACTTACCCAGACTCTCTCTCACACACTCAAATCAAGAAACAAAATCCATGAGAAAAAAATAGAAAACCAAAAACCAAAATGAAAATTGAAGCAAAATTTGAAGAATAAATTTCTCTCATACACAATTTTAAATCTACTCACCGGCAAACTCATTTTGTTTGGTTCTGATTTTTTATCCTCCATTCATGGCTGCTAGCAAAGACACCATCAATTATCACTACCGATCCATTTTCGTCCTTCAACTCTCTCATGACTAGTCATCATTCATTTTTCACCATGAGTTTCATATGAACTCATAAGAATCTCTCCAAAATTCTTGCGGAATTTTTCAGTTGTAGAGTTGTATACTCCATTTTCTTTCCAAGAAAAGAAGAAAAGAACCAAAAACAGAAAACCAACAAATACATTGAGGGAATCTGAGGAGCAAGAGGAGCTCGCTGCTGCCATCACCATTGCCGGAGTTGCTATCTTCTTGCTAGAACCACCACTACTTATAAATCATCATGAAGGAAGCAGTGTGAGGTTTCCATAATCCTTTTTTTGTTTTAATCTCTAGGTTGAGATGATTTTTTTGACTGTTGAAATTGCTATCTTCTTCCCGTTTGCTTTGTTTTGTAGATGAATGAAATGGGACAGTGATGCTGCAATTTTGTTGTTTCTTTTTCACCTTTTCTGCCTGAATAAGGCTTGACAAGATATTTTTCGACTCAGCCATAATCAAATTTCATACGAAATATTCAATTTTTGTGATGACCTTAATCTTTTTGACAAAATGCCCAAATGAAATAAGTTTGTAAGTAGACCTGAGAGTATGTTTGAGAGCCATTTCTCCTTTAAATTTTGCTTCACTTTCCTGAGAGTATATTTGTAAGCACATGACATGTGTCTTTTGTATATGTTTAATTCATTTAATTTACTACTCAATTAAATGAGTTAAACTTGGGGTATTGAAATGAAGATTAAATTTTGCACTCATAACGTTTATCTCACTCTAACAATATGAGTTGAAACTTTTAATTGTCTGCATTCTTTCGTTTGGGCCTTTTTGATTTCTACGGTTTCAGAGTCTTTTGGTGTTCCATAGTCTTCAATTTCAGATGAAAAGCATAACCTCCATAAGGTCTCGAAAGCTTTCAGACACAAGTTGCTTTCTCAGAGAAAAAGTGCTCACAAATAGTATTAATCAACTGGTGCTCACGGTGCTCTTTGATAAAAGGAATTTTCTATTTGTTTTAGTTGTTTTATTTGCATCCAAAACACAAAATAAATATTGCATGGAAAGTGAATCACCAGTACTTTGAAGCTTGATGAAAAATTTGTGGATAGATAATTATATTTTGATAGTTTGATTTATATAAAGTTTCTTAATAATGAAAAGTGCTTATTTAATGGATCAAGTGGATGATATGTAAAATAATTGTTGGGCTCAGTAATTTGGGATGTGAAGAAAATATTTCGTATCTCTTCATTTTGAATTACTAGCCTATATCCATGACAGGTAGTTTATTTTCATGATTTTAAATTTTAACAAATAATATCTTGAGAATAAAAGAAGTGTAAAATTAGATTTCAGAATCTTTTGTTTAAACTGGTTTTATATGACTTTGTAATCTTATTTTTTTTTATTGTCCCTGATGATAGATAATTTAATTAGAGTTTGAGATAATTGCTAACTTGCTAGGCATGGAACTAGACATATCATTATTATTTGGCTGAAGGAGTTGATAAAGTTTCTTTAGATATTATATTTTAACTAGTAGAAATGATTGCAATTGTCAAAGGAGTGTAGTTAGTGGTGGAAGTTAGCATTGAGGCTTTCAATCTAGAGTGTCACTTGATAAAGTATTATTACAAAATTTAATTTTAATTAAGAAGACATTTTTGCTATCAAACTAATTGTTGTTTTGAATTTGTATATGTAGATCTGGAAATATGGCATTCATATTTTTATCTAAAATTACTATTTGTATTCTAGAGCTATTTGGTGAGATAATGTTCTCACCTATTTGTAATGCTATTAGGCATGATTTAAATGAGTGGATTAACTTGCTTTTTCTCTTAAAAAGAAAGAAAAATGTGCACGTTTATATGTTTTTATTGATGTTGAAAACTGTAACATGTTTTGGTGGTTTTTTAAACTTTTTCTGTTTATTAAAGTGCTAGAAATAATATGATTGTTTTTTGTTTTGTTACAACTAAAATTATGTTGTTATTAAACCGACAATGCACTCATAATGGATTTGTTTTCTCTTCTTTTTTGGTACCATTATATGCACGTAATACTAGTTAAAAAATCTTTGTTCAAATCACAAAAAAATAGGGGGCTAACTTGATTATTGGAATTTTTCTTCACAACAAATTTTTAATTATTTTTATACTCAATTTTCTCTAATATCTCTATTCATTATGTACCAAAATGATTTGTTATTATGTATTCAACTAAGTTTCTAGGGGGTCCTGGCTGTGCCTTGCAGAGTCGAGGTACCTCTAGTCTTTGGTATATAAAAAATAAAAGGAACAAAAAAAACCAATAGATAGAAAAGAATGAAATCCTTTTTCTTGTTACAACTACAACTTGCAAATGTACAACAAACCTTTTTGAATGTGATAAAGAGTAATATATATGAATTTAACAAATGAGCGTGTCATGGGTTCAAATTTGGACAAATGGGATTGAGGACAATTAACGGGTAACTACTAAACTTTCCCCATAGTCTATTTATACCAAGCATTCTTCTTATGGCTAGATCCAATCTCTCGGTTCCTGCGGGAGGGAAAAGAATTTCACGCTCTTCCTTTCGGGAAGGGAGGATTAGGGAAATCCTATTGATTGCAGCTTTCTCCAAACCCCCCAAAAGACATGAAAAAAAAGACTCGAATAATACAATCACTCCGTCACCCAAAAATGAAAGGGGTGATCTCGTAATTCTTGGTCTGTGAAGATGCATTGTTAGGCGCTCCATTTTTTCCCATTGAGGCCAAACCTAAACCTGTGCTCAAGAGATAGCTGGCCACACACTGATAAGGGATGTCCAGTTTTTCACTACTCAACTATTAATAATATATTTTTACCCATTAAATTATTAAGAGTATAAATTTTGGCCCCTTCTATCTAATTTTGTCAGATCTAACTAACAGTAGTATGTCTTGCAAATCATATGAACCCTTAGATTCGTTAGAATTAACGATAAAATCAGATAAAATGGTGCAAAATTTACGCATTTGATTGTTCAGTAAGTAAAAACATACTATGAATAATTAAGGGACCAAATGTTGACTATATATTATTAATAATTAATTAAGGAACCAAATCTTGACAATTCAAAAAGTTCAATGATAACTACCCAAGTAATTTGCTCGAGAATTTTAAACCGAGAAACTCAGAGTACAAAATAAAATAACAACCCAAGGTCGAGAGTGCGAAGGCGGCCGAAACTGTGATAACAACCCAAAGTCGGAAATGGAGGTGTTGGGTAATTGGTTAATGGTTCCGGGTTTACTCTACCTGCTCAGCGAGCAGTCTTCTCTAGCGGAGTTTTAAACACTTTGTATAGTTTTCGGGCTTCCTTTGCTGGTTTCAACAGTTTAAACCATTAATTTAAGTTATTGAGCTATTTTGTACTGGAAGCCAACAAAAGAGGAAATTAGGACCAGATCGACCTTCTGATTGCTTGCTTCACCTGTCAGTAAAATGCTAATACGTTCCTTTCAGACAGGAGGAATGTTGCAGAGCAAACACAAAAACGTGTTGTTTCTCCTTGCGAGAAGGATGAACAAATTTCCAGCACAAAACCGGAAATTTCTCATGAGCTGCTGAACAGAAACCAGGCCTGATGAATATATATATATATATATATATATATAGTGATGTGATTATTGCATACCAAGTGATCCACGAGGCTTCATCTTTGCACCTTAGCTTGGCCATCAAAAGTCCGGTTTGGTATCACGTTTGTGCTTTCCCACTAAATACACCCCATCTACCTTGCTCATCCCTATTAACAGCTTGCTCCCTGCCAAATTTGAAGTCAGACATGGGTCCATTCTGATGCCCGGCCGCCCTTGGAGGGCTGGAATTCCTCCTGCTATCAGGTGCATTCCTCTGCTTGTATCTATTAACTTCTGCTGGTGCATTCTGCTTCCCATGAGCGTCATTGCCTTGTCGAGCTCTGAAGACACCATAACTTGGGCCCTGGGATCAGGATTATCTGGAGCAAAATTTTGTCCGTGGTTCCTGGAGTTTGTAGATGCAGGATACGCACGATTGACACCTTCAGTTTCTCTTCTTTGGGGCGATGCATTCATATTCAATGGTGGTTGCCTCACCCTATCAGGAAACTGGGATCCTGACTGCAATGTGTCTCTCCCACCAGGTCGTGGATAATGTGAAGAACCACCTTCTGATGAGCTCGATGGTTCACGTGCAATTGAGAATTTCTCACTCCTTGAACTCTTAGAAACCCCATCTGCATTGTCGTTGAGGTCAAAAAGTTCATCAAAATCATCATCTGCATTAGCTGTTGTCCAGCCAGATATTTCCTTTTGCTCAACATCATCTCTTTCTTCAGAAAGAACGTCATCATCACCTCCCACCTCTTGAACACTAGCACTTGCTGCTTTCTTGTCCATAGATGCTCTCTTTAATGAGCCTTTTTTTAATGGACCATACTTAACATGCCTCATAATAACATGTGCCTGATCCTTTTCCTCCACTCGGGTATCAGTTTCAACAACAGCTATATCTTCAATCTAAATATCAAAGTGTTATTGCCAAAATCAAAAAGTAAAAGAGGTTTGGGCAGGGCCACGAAATTACGAAGTATACTTACCAAAGCAGAGAATCGAGAAAACAATGTTGCAGAGTCCTCACCCTTATCCACATTACCAATAGCTACACACTGGTAAAAAAAAGGAAACATGAAAAATATTTTCCAAGTGAAATATAAACCAATTCCAGTAGAAAAGAAGATTTTAAGCAAATGGGCATTTTGCAAGTGTCAAAGTGTCAGAACGAAACTAATGATTCAGTCTTATTTCCAAGTTTATATATAAAACTAGCACAATTTCCAATAACAATCAGGTATTCTGACACACTTGATGATGCAATCGCTCCGTTAGTATAGGCTTGATAAAATACTCCGTTAGCTCATTCCAGGGAAAACCATTAGCTCTAAACTATAACAAGGAAGAAGGACAATACCTTGACACGATAACCGCTCTCCATTAGTCTCTTTGCCATGTCCGCTTTAATTTGTAAGTCATTGGGTGTCTGGAAAGGGAAAAGAAAAGGGGGTAAAAAAATACTGTCATAGTATCCGTGGGATCCAAATTAAGCATCAGAACTCAAGCCACTGTCTTGTTGATTTTGCTGAAATAACTCTGAAAAAGAATCGCAGTCTGAAAAGGCAATAGGCATATACAATCATGCAGCAATCACCAGATACAATTTTGACGACTAAAAGGGGACACTTTGTATGCAACAACAGATATAAAATAGGCCCTATAAATTTTTTCAGATAAAATTTCACAAGAAGTGGACAAGAATTATTGATAGATTGAGGGCTCCCACAAGCACTAAACCAAAACAATGGTAAAAATATCAACTGCAATAAGACTTACTGGTGTCCAGAAAGGCAAGTAATAAAACACTTACAATTTTAGCAGCAAATCGAACTTCTTTGCAGCCTCCGTTGCGTAAACTAACTTTAGACTGTGTTAAATAGACCAAAAAGATTAAACTTGGCCCCAGATTAAAAAGAGAGAAAAGGCACTATATCATTAATTCATAATCTCACATACTACAAGAATTAGTGAACCGACATGTCTGAAATATCCAAGCAGGAAAATTATGTAACTTCATAATTCACATGCATGCATAAGCATGTTTTGACTTCTCATCACATATCTCTATGCAATATCAACCATATAGGCCCAAATGCACAAGAACTGTGTCAAATAAAGCAATAAACTAGGAAGTTGTATGAAACAGTAATCTTGGTAAACTACTTAGGATCGTG